AGAATGGGAAGAAGGGCACTGGGGCACTGTCATGGGGCTCTTGGGGGACCCTGCTGGGGGTCTCTGGGGGGCTGGCTTCTTGGGGAGCATCATCTGAGGGCACCAGGGTGTCAGGCCCTGAGGTGGCATCATCTGGGGGCTCTGGGGCATCTGTAACAAGGGTGGCATGGCCAGAGGGTTCCAAAATGCTGACGGGGTCTGGGGTGGCATTGCCTAAGGGCTCCAGGGGGATCTTCTGGGGGCTGAAGTCAATGCGGCAGGGAGAACATGGGACAGCAGTGCGGGGGAGCCCAGGGGCAACGCGGCCAGGGGGGCACCGGGTACGGGGCACAGGAGTGCTGCCATCGTGGTCCTAGAGAACGGAGGGGAGAGGAATCAGGGCAGCCCCTCGCCCTACCCCTGTACCTCCATACCCCCACCCATTTCCTCCAGTGCCCCATACCCTGTAAACCCCACAGGTGCCCTCCAGCTCATCCCCACACCCGTATCCCATTCCCCTCCCTAAACACCCCAGTCTACTCCCCCATACCCTGAACTCCCCCCAGGTGCTCCCCAGCTCCTGTACGCTCCCTCCCATCCCCCCCCCGCCACCGCACCGACCTTGAGCCGCAAGCGGCGGAGCAGCGGGGTGATGTTGGTACGCTCCGCTCCCTGCTGCAGCCGCAGCTCCTGCAGGGGCCGCCGTTGTGCCTGGGGAACGGGCACCGGGGGGTCAGCACCGGAACCACCGCACCCCCCCCGGCACGGACCGAACGGCGCTGCATCCAACCCTCCAACCGCCCCTAGAACCGCTACCGGGACCCCCAGCCACCCAGCAGAGCCATCTCTACTATCATACCGGACACTCGGCCGGGTAAAAAGCAGCTGCAAGACCAAAACCGGGACCGGGACCGGGACCGGGACCGGGACCGGGACCCCCGACGCCACCCCCCCCCCTCCCGTTCCCCGCACTCACGGATTTGACGCGCGCTCCCCGCATGGCCGCGCACCCGCCGCGCCGCTCCCCGCCGCCCATTTGAAAACAACGCGCGGCTCTGATTGGTCCCGCGATGGGGGCGGGGCTACGTCATTCGTGGGCGTGGTTACGTGCGACGTGGGCGTGGATTCTCAGTGACCACGCCCACCCGCGCGGGAATTGCGGGCGTGCTGCGCAGCGCGGACCTGGAAGGCTTGCGTTGGGTGCGGGGGGTTCAGCTTTGTACGTTGCCCCCCCAGCCCCTGCCCTCGGTGCGCAGCCCTGCAGGAGACACCCACAGCATTACCGTCGGGTCTGGGTTTATTGCTCCCGTGGGAAGAGGTACAGAGGGAAGGGGGGTGTCCCTGAGTGGTGCGAGGGTCCCTCCGTGGTTCCGGGGTCCCTCCAGCGGAGGCTCAACCAGGCCACGGCCGGTTCGGGGGGGCGGCGGTGAGGTCGCAGTCGAAGTCGTCAAACGTGTCAGGGTCGGGCAGAGGCTGCTCGCTGGGGCGTGGAGCCACAGCCAAGGCCACCGGGTCCTTTTGCAGAAGCTCGGCGTCGAAAGGCAGCCCCCGGAAAAAAGGGTGGCCCTGGAAGTGGTGGAGGTAACGCAGGCGGCGAAGGGGGTTGTGGCACAGCAGCTGGCAACAGAGGGAGGACGGTGAGCGACGAGGGGGACAGTGCTGGGGACACTCAGCCCAAGGGTTGGGGTTACCTCAGCCAGCAGTCGGCTCAGCGCAGGGCTGAGCGCAGGGGGGGTCGCGTAGCTGCTCTCTTTGACACGCTCCAGCATGGCCACGTGGTCCCTCGCTGGCGGCACTGGAAACTGGGGGGGGGACAAGGAGCAGGCTTAGGGGCTCCATGCGGTACCCTAAGGCCATCATCACCCTGCATTGCTCACCTCCCCACTGGCCAAGGCGAAGAGCAGCACACCCAGGGACCACCAATCAGCTGCGTGGCTGTAGGGACCCCCGCTCAGCACCTCTGGGGCTGCAGGGATGAGGAGGTGAGTGGGTTGGGGGGTGTGCCTCCGTCCTTCCGCCTTCATCCCCCCCTAAGCTGTCCCCTTACCCATGTACTGCAGAGTGCCACAGATGGTGTGTGCCCGCTCACCGCAGCGCAGGTGTCTGGAGAGGCCAAAGTCAGCGAGTTTGAGATGCCCTGGGGGGCAAAACAGTGCAAGAGGAGGGGCCCATGGAGGGGGTGACCCTATGGATGGGACGTTCCCATGCACAGGATGTCCCCGCACCAATGCCACCAGGCCCTCACCTCTCTCATCCAGGAGGATGTTTTCCATCTGAAATAAAACAAGCTCTGGGGTGGGCCTCCATGCGAGGAGATGCAGAGATCCACAGTGCCTTTTTGTCCCCCCCTCCCCGCTATCACTCACCTTCACATCTCTGTGCACGATGCCCAGGTCGTGGAGGTACACTGGGGACAAGATGGAGCTGTCAGAGATTGGGCGTCCCCTCCTTACACCGTGCCGATTGCCACCCTCAGAGGGGGCTGAGCCCCCACTCACCCAGCACCAGGACCAGCTCGGCAGCAAACAGGCGGACGGTGGCCTCGGTGAAGCGCCCAGCTGCACGCCACAGTGCGTGCAGGTCCCCAGTGCTGCAGTAGGTGCACACTGCCAGGATGGGTCACAGCACCCTTACCTGGAGCCACGCAGGCACCAAGGTGGGGCTGTATGGGTGGGGAGGTGGCGCACGGACTGGGATCTTCTGGGCATCAGAGCTATGTGGGCACAGGGAGCTTGCAAGCACTGTGCCCAAGGTGATACAGGCACCAGGGATACACAGACCATGTGGCCACATGGGCACAAAGACAGCACAAGCACTGCAAATGTATGGGCAACGCAAACATCGCAGGCACGTGGGCATGAAAGTAGCATGAGAACTGTGGCTACGTGGGCATGGAGGGGGCACAACAGTGTGGACACATGGGCTCAAAAGTGGCGCATGTACTGTGACCACATGGTCATGAAGGAGGCACAAGCACTGTGGCTACACGGGCACCGAGGTGACACGACCCTTGGGGCTCACAGATCTGCACAAACCCTATGGGCCCAGCGGTGGCACAGAGCCACCAGAGCTGTGACAATGGCACGGTGGCCTTTTTCCCCATCGTCCCATTGCTGTCCCTGCAGTGGGTGAGGGTTGGGAGGCAGCAGCCTGATGCTGAGTCCCCGCAGGCAGCGTGCAGAACGTGCAAGGGGGGGGAAAACACGTGTGCA